TTAGAGAGAATACAATTTATAATGATGAATTCTAACATATAGCTCTTGAACTAAATCTGTGTTGCCTTAGTTTATCACTTTCATAAATACTTTTCCTGAAATTGTATGTCAGGAAAGTTGATAGAACTGGGTGCCTCTGTCCATCCTTTTAATGCATAAACAAAATAATTAATGACATTCATTTGTGCCAAAAAGCACAGGTTTAAAGAAAACCCAAATGGTCCTGCACAACTCAGCATTCAGTTATGTTTTCTCTCCCACATGATCACAACCTGCAGTGAGCTTCAATGTCAATTATGAGCTGAACCTCTGTGGTGGGTTGAACAAGAGCTTTTATGATTCTGGTTTGTCATGGGAAAAGAATTTCAGATGCAATCATGCTAGCTGATTAAATAGTTATCCCCAACAGCCTTAAAATTCCCATGCAGTGAAGGAAAAGCTATAAACAAACATGTTTTTCCTGTTGAATTTGCATAGGGCCTCGGATTTCTCTTCAAGACATTCACCGGGCCATTCAGGCAGCCCTATGTCAGGTAGTTCCGTGCTGAATGAAAGGGTAACAGCACTGCAGGCAACGTCAGCTCCAGCAGCAAGGCTCATCCCTGACAGCCCAGTGCTGCCATGTCTACTGACCCATTGTGCTCCTCCTGGAGCTGTGCTGAATGAGCTGTGGGACACTCTCTGAGCTGCTCCCTGCTCGTTTTGAAATGCAGGTTTGAACTTTCCTTATGAAGTTCACAGGCTTTTGAAGTCAATTAATGGATCAGCTGACACTCTAGATGACCTTACCATGGGCATTCTTCACAACCACCAAATAATTCTTCGTTTCACTCTGCAGTACTCACAAAACAATTCTTAACTACACAAATACAGTATACACAGATATGATTTAAACAAGTTAAACAACATTGTGTTTCTTTTCAGCATGGAATGAACCTTTACTTGTTCCTTTGCAGCCTGCGCATGCTGATGAAGTTACCTACTTGTATTATTTAAATGTGTGCGTTCCACTATGATATTTTGGTTGAAATTCAAATACAAATTCATTCCTTTCATTTTAGTTTTCTGAATTTCATTTCTCCCCATTTGCCTTCATTTACACAGTGTGTTATTCTATCATACAGTAAGTAATAAAAGGATCATGGATATCACAAATGTTTTTCATTCATGTTGAAAACAGCTATGCATTGAATTAACAGAAAAGGAAATCAAGTTTCAGGTTAGTACTTGTTTTTAAAAAGACATAACTGTTTATAGGAGAGATTATAGGCAGGGGAAAAAAATCAACCTAGATTGACTGAGTAAATACCTTCATGTTAAAATAATAATGTGCTCTTACCTTAAAGACTCACAGCACTTTTGTTCTCCAACCAACTATTGTGCACTATAGCTCAGTGCTATTGCAGTTTACTGTGCAGTTGATCTTTTATGACTTCCCTTTTTAAAGCGTTTTGCATATCTCTCACACTTCAGTAGGTTTGCAATATTTTGTGCAATAGTGTACACTGTACTGTACGAATCTCTTGAAGAAGGGAACAGCACAGAATTTGAAAACGCATCACGTCAGTGTGATTATGGCTTGTAACAAACAGATTCTGCTGCTGTGGATGTGACCCCTGATGGCAGAAAGTGCTGATTAATATCTTTTACAATTTTGAATGACTGGTTATGTTTTTATTGTGTATGCATGTAGTTTGGAATATGATGTGTTGTACTTGGGGAATGATTACTTGCAGTTGTTCTCCTCTGGAAAGCCCACCTGTCAGAGTCACTCATATTTTGACAGGTTTCCATCTCTACAGTGTCTTACAGGTGAGCTTTGATTGGAGGAGCAGGAGGAGCAGTGCATACTTCACTGATGCCACCAAGAGACCACAGTTTTTGAAGCACCACTCTAATATTGGATTAAGCTTTCAGTTTAGATTTTGTTAAGGTTGAAACAGAAAACAGGAACCTTACTGATTTTCTGCATTGCAACTACATGGACCAAAAATATCTCTTTGTAGGTCTCAAAAGTGATAACTGGGTGAAATAAACCCGTTTCTCTGTTTTTTTTTCCCCCCAGATTTTATTTTTCTCCCTTCTATAAAAGTTGTGGTCACTTTACTTGCACTTGAAGTTTTTTGTTTTTTTTACAGCTGCTTGTCTTGGATAAAATGCCAATGTAAAGATAACCCTTTACATAACACCACTTAGCTGTTCAAACACTAAATGGCATTTGAAGCATTTGTTATTACTTACAGTGCTGGCAATCCTTTGGAAAAAATGGGGGCGAGGGGCTAGATAAGCTTCATATCGTTATTAAGTTCTAATAAAGGGTCAATATTGAATTTGAACAGTCTGAAGTGTAAGAGTGTTCAATCCCCAGATATACTGACAACTCACAAAATAGTATGATGTTCTTATATTGGAACACTTTAGTATATCAAAAAGGATTTTTGACACAAGTACCCAATGGTATTGGAAAAGTCAACCAAGTAGAATACATTTTTTAAAATATCTCTATTTAAAAATATCTTGCCCTGACACTGGTTGTGGGTGTCTAAAACAAGTTACCTACTGATGTCACTAAAGCTGATACCCTGGATAACCTTCATCCTCAGATCAATAAGGTGCTAGGAGTTTAAAGAGTTATAGATGGGTCAAATGGTCAGCTCTGAATTTTAACTTTATATTCTCATGTCCTTGTGTTCTTGAGAGTGTACTGCTCCAAATATTCATTCATTGCACAACTTTTATCAGATTTAAGCAGTCCGCTTTCCAGGCGCATAGATATTTAATTTTTTCTTGAACGTGAGATATGGAGAATAGGATTTTTCCGACTGTTGGCACCGAGTCTAAAAAACTCTTTTATTTTTAAGACTAAATGGATTAATGACAGACGCTCTTATCTTCCTGCAGAAGGAACGTCAAACATACACATTCCTGGAAAGCATCCAGGAAACATGGAAAGCGATATTGTTCACTTTACTTTTGTCAAGATGTGCACACAGCGCTTGTGTCAATCTGCAGTAATGGACCTTAATCTTAATGTACAGTAAATACTTACAGAACACAATGAAAGCTTAGATACGTGGACAGAGGTAGGAAAAGTATAAAAGAGTAACCCTGACACCACAAACGTTTTGTACAAAGGCAACAATGGGCAAAATACTACTGGCGTGTGGTGAGTAAAACTAAGCAAAATATGAAGAACAAATTGTTCCTTGCCATCAGAAACTAATGTCTCCTTTGCTGTATCTTCTCATTGTAGGCAGAAAAATACAATGGTCCATTGTCCATTGTCTTCTTGGTAAACAGTGCATGTTTTGTCAAACTATCTCCCTAGTTTACCATAATCTTAAATTGATTGACATTTTAAAAAGCAGCAAAGGTATGCTTCAAAACTCTAGAATGTCAAACAACTCCACAATTAAAGTTAGAACCATCATAAACAGTCTGCTATCTGTATTGATAAAAATATGGCTTTGATAATCCAAATATGGGATACATAATTCCAGTGTGTACAGTACTTTGTGTCCATGTGTGACTGCCGATGGTGTTCCATGAGTCTTTGCATTCTGAAAGTTCACGCTTCTTTCCTTTTTCTTATTCCCTGACAGTCCTGTCTGCGCTGCTGCACGTGCAGCTCGGTAAGTTAAATCACTGCACCTTTTCACAGGCGATGGGCAGCTAAATTCATTTCAAGAACAGCCTGATGCTAGTTTGCCACATAAAGCTTTGATTTTGTGTAGAAAAGAGAATAATCGAACTTTGAAAGCAACACCGGGTCAACAGAAACCTTATTTCCTATTGTAGAAATGTGCATGCAAAAAGCCATGCTTTCTCGGACATGTGCTGTAAACCCCACTCTAATATGTGGGTCTTGTCACTCAATTACTTTTTTACAGAATGCCAATATCTTTGCCGAACACAGAGTAAAATCTGTTTTAAATTGTGTAATAACCAGGGGTACACATGTGCTTGTCCCATTTTAAGAATATGGGGCATTAAATGCCAGAACAATTTACACTGGATTTCTGGAAGATCAGATGAATCTGCAGATGTAATTTAGAGGCAACACAAACACCTCCATAACGTTTCACAAGCCAGTGAGCAAGCTCCACTGTCCAGCAGTTTTAGTGAGACTGACATCTGTGTATGGTACTTGTTGGTGCATCACACAGCTAGAACAGAGAACTTTAGTAAAAGGAGGAGGAATGTGTTTTTTGTCATTTGAGAACTTAATAAAAAAATGAGTCCCTTGTACCCTGCTCTTGTCCCGATCATTAATTAGCATCTATTGAAATCTCCATCTCTCCTCAACCTCAGGGTCCTCCTATATCCTGTCATGCTACTTCACCAACTGGGCGCAGTACAGGCCCCCACCCACAGTCTACATGCCCACCAACATCGACCCCTGCCTGTGCACCCACCTGCTCTACGCCTTCGCCACCATGAAAGACAACAAGCTGGCCACCTACGAGTGGAATGACGTTGAGCTCTACAGCGAGTTCAACGCCCTCAAGAACAAGTGAGTTCTCTTCCGGGCTGCAGGCTCTCCTGATAGCTGCACTGAACAAGCAGAAAAGTGAGCTTCATTCACAATATTATTTTAATACGCAAGCCCATTCATGTACATCTACTCCACACTGCCGTATAAGACATGTACAGTAGTTTCTAGTGATTTCTGTTGCTTACATGGCAGAAAATGTAGCATTTTGCAGACTTAAATGAAATGAAATGAAAAGAAAAGGAATTCTTATTTCTTTCATAAGAGTCACCCATCCTTTGATTTGATACATTAGTAAAAAACATATTGTAAAACACTGTGAGATGATTGCTTTTAATAACACTCTATAGCAGATTATTCTAATGATGTGTCTGAGGCCTTTATTAAAGACAACTTTTAACTGTTAGGTATTACACATACAAGGTTCAGTATCACTTTTATATCAGTAACAAATAGTGGAGCCGTAGCTGTGTATTTAAATTGTGCAGATGACGTACAAATGTATACCGAGTGCTAGCAGCAGGGCCAGTTTAGAGTTTAGGTTTTGTGTGGTAAAAAAGCTTGATTCAGCTCTGCTTGTTGATAATGAGTTCACTTTGTTCTGTGATTTCTTATCGTACCCCCTTCCTAGGAATGGGAATCTGAAGACCCTGCTGTCCGTAGGGGGATGGAATTTTGGATCTTCAGGGTAGGAATCTCGTTTATTCCAGAAATGCTGTGTCGTAAATTGTTGTGTGTCGCGAGTATGGGAAGGAATGAAATTTACTAGGGATTTTTTTTCTCCTCCTCCCGGGCGCAGATTCAGCAACATGGTGGCCCAGGCCGGGACCCGTCAGATCTTCATCAACTCCGTGATCGAATTCCTGAGGCAGTATGAGTTTGACGGCTTGGATATAGACTGGGAGTACCCGGCCAACAGGGGGAGCCCTCCGCAGGACCAACAGCTCTACTCCGTCCTGCTGGAGGTCAGTCTGTCTTCTGTGGTCACCTTGGCAACGGGTACCACTGCTAGCTGTACAAAAACTATCCTCAAACGTGGCCCAGCTGAGCTCTTATTCTCACAATGGAATTAAGAATTTAAGATAATGATTTTCTGGCTGTCTTGAGGTACTGAAGAGTGACTGATTTTTAATTACTTGTGATATCTAGTAATTTGCTTTTAAATCTCTAACAGCTTTAGAGCTGAAAACTATTCAATAGGACTGAAAAAAGTACTGGGACAAATTAATCAAATGCTCAAGGAGTAGTTTTTTGGGTGTAAGTATACTAGCAGTGAAAAAGAGGAAGGTAACTACATGCTAAAAAAAACAGGTTCTACTTTTTTTAAAAAGTCAGGTTACAATTTCCTTTAAAGTCTCTGGCATCCTTCTCTTTTTCTATTGCTGTAACTGTTTGTGTGTTGTAACCGAAATCTGGTGGAGCAGTTCACTTTATTTGTGGTTGTAAACAAGTATTTAAACACAGCAATGAGAGCTTCACCCGAAGCCTGCTGATGGCCTCATTTAAGCCATCAGCAATGAAGAGTGAACCTGTCTGGAATTCTGGCGTTTTCCCAGGAAATGCGGGCAGCCTTTGAGAAGGAGGCGCAGGAGACCCACAGAGCCCGGCTCTTGATGTCGGCAGCCGTCTCTTCCGGTCTCGGAACCATTCAGTCCGCTTACCAGATCCCCAAACTCGGCCAGTAGGTGTCGCCAGCTCTTCCTGGGGTTCCTATCTTCTGTGAGAAGCAGAAAACTGATGTCTTGCACCTTACAGTGGCAAAACTCCAACTACTTTTTTGTAGATTTTAGTCACGTGGAAACTATTTACTAAACTCTAACCCTTTTCACTCTGAACAAGATTACTATACATAGATAGATACGTTATTGTCCACTGCTGTGGAAATTTGTCTTTGGCTTCTCCGATAAAAGTACAAAATGCACAAGCAAAACATAAAAGTCCCATAAAATCACATGAAATCAAAACAATGGTATATAATACAGAAATAAATGGATAAATAAGTAGTGGGGAACTACATTTACATGCATGCATTGAGTAGTTGTATTGCACAGGGGAAAAAGGACTTCTTATGGAAGTGGGCATTCACTTTCTGATAGACAGGACATGACTTTTTTGACACATGAAGCTTTTTATACACAATGAGAACTAATGTCTCTTCTTCTCAGCCCTCTCCATCTGAAAAGTCCATGAGGCTGCAACTTCCTCTTTGGCAAACTTACTGCACACTCATCTTTTAAGCAGTCAATGTCGGATGTGCCTGCACCACGTAACTCAGGAAATTAGCTAGGGGACTCCTGCAGGGTGTTAAAGGGATTTACCCATCAATCATCTGTGTGATGCCTTCTTTTTATCTGTTCTTTTCATATTTTACTGTCTTCTCACCATGATAAGATTTTGGCACCAATTAATAATCAGCTTAGACCTTAATCCGATTTTATTTTTTATGAACTGTTCATCAAGATGGTGCTTGAATTGCCATTCTATCCATATGGCGAAAGGCAGCTGACGTAGGTCCCTAGTTCAATAATTATTCTAGACAGCTGGTGTTCACTCTGATGCTGCTGGGTAACCTTGTCATCATTCCACTTTAGACTCTCTAACATTATTTGAACGTATTTTTTTGCTCATTTGGTAAATACAGCATTACCACTGTTTCCAGATCATTGTTCATTAATTAATATAAATAGTACCTCTAAAATCATGTGAATTGTGGCCCTCCAAGACAAAGTTTCTTTAGAATTTGCTATTACCACATTATAAAGTGTGGTTTAAGCCCTGAATGGGGTGAATTGTTGATGCACAAGTAATGTGTTGTTCAGGTGTATTTATTTATTCTTATCTTCTTCTCCATCGATGCAAAGCGAGCTAGTTGAAGAGTTTGTTTTTTTATTTGGTTCAGGGCACAAATACGTGACGCTTGCTGCTGGCACATTTGAATAAGATCAAAGGTAACTTCTGCAAAATCTGAAACAAAGGCTCAGTTTTACTTGGGGGCTTCCAAGTTTAGCTTGCAATTTATTTGCGATAGCTTTGGAAAACAGACCATCTCCGGCCAAGCAGCACAAAAAGAAAATGGATGTGGCCTTTTTGCCTCTCATATGAAAACATTTGAAATACATCTACATCAGTTTAAGACAGAATTTATTTTAACTTTGAATTTATTACTAAGGTATAATATGACCAACCTCATAATGGCATTGTGGTTTGGGTTATCGAAGAAATACAAAAATAACCGGTGAGTAACACGAGCATAAATTTCTACAGTCCATACAAAAACAGGAAGTGTGCCCCTAAGAATTTCCCAGCATTAGCATTGTCCTCATCTCCCATTCTTTTTTTGCTCTCCCTGCCTTCCTCTTTCTCCTCCTCTCCCTGTTTCCCCCCTGTGTCCCCCTGTCAGGGCTCTGGACATGATCAACGTGATGACCTACGACATGCACGGCTCCTGGGAGACCTTCACTGGAGAGAACAGCCCTCTGTACCGGGGTCCCGCAGACCAGGGTGGAGACATTTACTTCAACATCGTGAGTGCCACTTCTTCGGCCAGAGCGACCTGGAGCTTCTTCCCCCTTTCTCCTCTCGAAGTCTTACATCTGTCCTCAAACAGTGAACAGCTAATGATTCTATGGCCCTTCTGTATACATTATTACTGACTGACATGCGCCAGTCTTGTTGAAACACTGTTTTAACAAGAAACAGAATAATTATATGAAGAAGAATGTACACTCATGAAGACATGCAGGCTAATTAACACCTGGAGTGTCGGGAGAGGTAACACCAGTGAGACATTTATGATGGCATTCATGTTTCACTTTTTTCCCTGAGTGATCTTGTAGTTTTTTTTAAAGGTAGGAGCACAGTGCAGCACAGTTTGACAGGAAATCATTTCAGCAAGCAAGGCTACTGTAGCTTCGGGTTTCTCATTTTTCGTATGGGCCAGCACAGCCAGTAGCAAGTGTTTTTCTTTGCAGAACTACGCCATGAATTACTGGAAGGACAATGGGGCCCCAGCGGAGAAGCTGCTGGTTGGGTTTCCCACCTACGGGCAGACCTTCACCCTGAGAAACGCAGCTGATCACATGGTGGGCGCCCCCATCTCTGGTGCTGGAGCTCCAGGAAAGTACACGCAGGAGGCTGGAGAGCTGGCCTACTTTGAGGTACAGGATCCTTGGTATTGATTGACGATTTCATCAGTCCCAGTGTGAGTACAGTGCACATCCATGGAGCTCAGGAAGAGACTGACATGCCAGTTTAGTCTAATAAAGTAAAGCTTGTGGAAAGTGTGGCTTAAGAATCTGTGTGTTTGTGTTTGGAAAACAATAAAATCACTGGACACAATATTAGGACCATAGGAAAAGGAATAGATTGTCTCAATGGGAGGCAATGCTTGGGTAGCCTGATAAGAACGAGACAGATTTCCATCATTTTCCCAGACAATCCCAATTCCCAGATCCAATCCTGTTGAAAACTGATGGGGCTGGTGGAATGTGCAGCTCCATCCCACTCAGCATCAGTGTCAGCACAGCCTCAGCAGAAGGTGATCCTGTCAGAGGAATGGGATGGGACTAGGATATAAATATTTCAAAAACCGTATGGAGTACATCGTGTTCAGGAAGTTCTTGATATTGTATTGAAGAGGTTCTACATGTGGGGTGGTCAGTGAGTGGAGTGGGGGTTCCTACATTTTAAAGCAATTTGTAACAGACCAATGAAATGAAAGTGACTTTTGTCTTGAGTTGTTCGCTTGTTCTTCTGTGATTTTTTTACTTCATGCCACCCACCCTGCTAAACGTGCAGCTCTCATGAGGTTTGTTATGGTCAGTGTTTGCTGCAGGGCTGAGGAAGGTGTGCACATGAATCAGGGACCATCTCTCAACCTGTTTCAGATCTGTGGATTTTTGGAAGGTGCAACATTTGTGTGGAACGAAGTGCAGGATGTTCCCTATGCCTACAAAGGAACGCAGTGGGTTGGTTTTGACAATATCAGGAGTTTTGGGATCAAGGTAAGCAGATCCTCTTCAGACTTCTTTAGATCCAACTTTAGAGAGTCTCAGATTCCTGTCGTTCTTGTCGTTTTACATGGAGTAGCTCATGGTTTTAATTCAGGATGCTGGTCACAAGGCTAAAATAAGACAAAGCAAGGCAACAAATAATAGTAGGCCAACTCAACGATTGCATGTTTGATGTTTGCTTGTAAATTAGTTTACAGGTAATTTGGCCATTTCTTCAAATGTCCCCTGTGTGTCAGCTTTGATAGCATGTAGGATAGGTCATTATAGGCCCTTTGTGGCATTTTGCAGAAACAAAGGCCTCCTCCATTTTGTCCTAAGTTCGCCTGCTCTTAATTTTTTGTAGGCACAATGGCTAATGAAGAATAACTTTGGAGGTGCCATGGTCTGGACTCTTGACATGGATGACTACCTGGGCACCTTCTGTAACCAGGGGAAATATCCTCTGATCAATGTTCTCCACAAAGCCTTTGGTCTGGATCAAGTGGGTAAGTGCTTACACTGAGAAGCAACAAATAACAGTAAAGGAGGCCAACACACCTCCTGGATCAGCCTCCTGTTGAATCGACACAAAGACCCAGCCTAACTATTTCTTTCAGGACCCCAGAGGGTAAACACCCAAACTGAGCTGTAGCAGTAACAATCTGAATTGTTGTTATGGCGGTGTGGGAGTGGAGGCTCTGAGTAAATCTTTAATAACATGCTAGGCTTGTATCATGGATCTGTGTTTAAGTTGTGGCAGCAATATTGTCACCTTGTCCTGATCTCATAAGCTTCCAGAAGCTAAACAATACTGGGCGTCACCAGTACTGGAATAGGGGATATTTGGTAGACCAGCAGGTGGCGCTCTTCCACCTGGATCAGAATTTCCAGAAAAATAAAATTCCATGACTGAATGTCCTGGGTCAGTCACTGAAGATTTTACGGCACTCTTCATAAGAAAAGGGGTACTTAATCTGGGTGGTCTCGCCTTGAAAATGTCTTATTATGCTTAACACTTGCAAAGCAGTGGGCATGTAAGGAAATGTTTCTTCCTTATGCTGTAAACATATTCATTAAAGACATATGGGAGACCAATGCTTTTCCCCTAGTGTATTTCAGCTGAGCAATAACAGCACAGGCCAGACAGAGCCAATCTTATAAAGCCCATTTACTGTCACACCCTCCTGTGCTCTTCCCCCAGCCTGCACGCCCCCTGCGACCCCCCTGCCCCCCATCAAGGGCCTGACGACCACTGGAGGAAGCACGGGAGGCGGATCCGGGGGCAGCTCCGGAGGCGGATCCGGGGGCAGCTCCGGCAGTGGAACCAGTGGGATGAACGGAAGCTTCTGTGTGGGCAAAGCCAACGGTCTGTACGCAGACCCCACGAACAAGACCCAGTTCTACGAGTGCAATAACGGCCAGACCTACTTCCAGAACTGCGCTCAGGGGCTGGTGTTTGACTCCAGCTGCTCCTGCTGCAACTGGGCCTAGACGTCTCAGCAGGCAGACTGCTCCGCACACATCGGCAAGGAAAGACCTCCTTCAGAGGGCTGCATCCATAAACACAAGCAGCGAGACAAGGCTACCAGGCGGGAATGTGGCGGACACCACATTGAATCACCAAACCACACAGCGGCAAAGCCTGATTTTGAAAGTAATTCGCTTTCTATTATCAGCAATTCCAATTGGTTTTGAGCACCATCGTGTCCGCTGTCTTCCTTCCCTATCACTTTGTTCTCATTTTCTAAGACCATTGCAGCTTTGTTTTTTTGTAAATCGGAAGAGCCGCTTAAAGATCGTAGCTTTCACTGACGGGAAGTGTTGCTTCTCATTCTCCGGAATCAGAGATGTCGGATCCCTCGTTAGTCTGTTTTTGCCTGAAAAGTAATTAAGGGGCTCCTGGGTAAGAGGCTTGGGACACTTGGGTTTTCAAAGTACAACTGTGGTGGTTTAAAAGGGGAACTTGTAAAGCTGACTAAATCTTTCAGATAACACTTTGCACCCGTCAGTGAAAACTGCAGCTGCCTCGTCTCATACTCACTGAGCTGCTCACAGCCAACCGTTGCCTTATGTTCTCTTTATGAATGCAGCCCTCTGGCCACACTGTCACTCAGAAGAAACTGCTTCCAGTTACACGTTAGTGGTTAAACAACACATTTCCTAACTCTATGACTTTTAAAACAATTTTAAGATTGGGGACCTGCTAAAAACACGCTTAAGGAAGAAAAAAGTTTAATTTGGTTACGTTCTCACAGGATAGGGGGACAGTGCAGAAAGCAAACATAAGGAAACACCTCCTTCAGCTGAATGAACTAGGAGCCCTTGGTAGTGATGAAGATAAAACCACCCAACTCCATCTGGAACCAGTCCACCATGGTGCGGTAAATCTCATTCACACATGTAACAGTGTCACTGTTTTAACACAGTAATCTCCTCCTCTCCCTACAGTCTTAATATAATAAAAACTTTCCTCTTCAAGCAAAGCATTGTCTTTTTCCTGTGGCTTTTTTGTGTTGCACGTTTGCTTTTATAAGCTTGTGGGCTTTTCTGTACAGAGTTATTAGAGCACATGCTGTACAGTTGCAAGATCTTCGATAACATCAGGGTAAGTCACAGGCCTTTTGGTCTCTGTCCGAATTGAAACATTAACTGAGGTGTAAAATATGCTGAAGTCTAGTTATATTCTGTAAGGAGGAGAAATTCCAAATTAGATCAATGTCAATTAATGTAATCGTATGGACAATGGAATCAGATGCCTACTGCATCATCTGTCTTTAGTCAACTCTGATGAGTAATCTCTCTGCTATTGTCCCTTTATCTCAAGGTGCAGGAGGGCCTCCTTATTCCAAGCAGATTCTGAGCCACTGCTCTCCCAACAATGTGGTTGAGCTGTTTGTAATTGTCCTTAGAGGACGAGATGGGATAGCTAGCTAATCTTGCTGAGCAACAGGGGGTACTCTGCTCAGGGCGGAGTTGTGTCCAGCAGGGCTTGCCCTAGGCAAGGCAAGATCTTGGAGAGGGGCTCCTACCCATCATGATGTGACCATACACACTCAGTCCACTGAGATGTTCTTGTGCGGAAGCGCATTGCTGCCGCCAAAGGAATAGATATTCACCCCCCTTATCTCGGAATAAAGAGATACTAATCTCGTCATTATGAGATAGCAATAATTACTTCAGTGTATGTACAGTACATCCTCTTACGTTGTGCATTGAACACACGTAGAAGCTACTGTGGACTTGGCTGCCACTTTCGGTTTAATGATTGTGTCAATGTCCAGCGCTGCAGAGTTTGTGCGGATTTATTGTCGACTGGGGTTTAGTTATAATGAAATAGTGCAATTGTTTTGCAAATACGAACAATCATTATAAGCATGAGGATCAGTTTTGGGGGAAACCGATGCGTTTTAATGATGATTTCTTATAATCGCTGAACAGTCTTTCGTACTGCACATTCACTTTCATGCCTTTGTTTGGCCACGCAGCACTGATTTTTAGCCAGGTGACCCACAGGTGTACAATTGCGGGAAATGTGAATCATTTAATGCCTAGTGAAAACACCTCAAGTAGTCTACTTGTCTAGCATAAAAATGTGTCATGGTTACCATTCGCTAGCTTCAAAGATCTGACAGACTGAAAACCAAATGAAATAAAAATTACATTGTCATGCATGTTCCTCATTATTACAATAATTTGAGCGCACCTCTGTTTTGAGGTCACTTATCCTTCTCTTCATTTCGGCGCTTCAGAAACAAATGACAAACTTGATTATTGTTTTGGGTTTGGGTTTTGGGTGGGCTTCCATTAAAGTAATCCACAGCAGCAAGAGAAAGAGCCGCTATAGGGCAGTTTTTGTTCAAATTTCAAAGTGCCGATTAAAAGTCTGTTGTGTTGCTCATTGAGGGGGGCCCTAGGCAGTCCCCTAGTTCACCAGAACCAAGGCCCAGCCTGGTGTTCAGGAGGCGTGAAGCGCTGACTGAGGCCTGAACTGAACAGGGGTGGCACAAAGTCTTTCAGTGTATCATTTTAATCCCATCACCGGTATCCAATCATTGTGTTTCCTTGTTTTTTTCCACTTTCTTTCTCTATGGGGTCTCTCTTCCTCACTTCTTTTTTCATTTTTGTTCCACCTTCCTCTTTCTCATTTTTGTGAAAAAAGAAACGCAAGTGCTGTCCTGCGTAAGAGCAGACTTTAGTTTTCCTCTCAGGTTTGGGTGGTTTGTCTGTTACATTTTGTTAACAGAGTGGTGGTGGCTACAGTATTAGGTTATTTATATGTTTATTTAGTAAATGTGGCACTTACAATAGTACCATACAAATTAATATACAGTATGTTCATAGGAAAGGTATAAAATATTGTGTCTGTTCATCTTTGTTGCAGATGGGGTTTTAATTAGGCTAATTTATCATTTACTTCAAATTGCTGTGTTTTCTTAATTGGGGTGTAGCTTAAGTCTTTTTAAGTTTTGATGTCCTGAAGCTGACATTTTACTCAACCTGTTATATTAAGACCTTGGCTCCAGTTTATGATGAGCAGACACAAGTGAGAATTAGATTCCATCAAAGTGTTTTGTCTGGCCTTGAATCCAAATGCTTTAAGTCCCGATGACAAGTCTGTAAAAACTACAAAAATGAACTGAAGACTACAATCTAATTCTGGTATTGATCTTAATCAACTATCAAATGAAAGGTATCAATAAAACCTACTCTCCAGATTTAGATTAGCTCAGCCATTCTTGTTTTCTGCCTTGTTCAACTTTAAAGTAACAGGGAGTCATTCGGAATGAAAAACATCTTGCTCAAAGCTGTGGAAAAAAGCAGGGCGAGAACCATTTGTTGAGTGATTGCGCCCTCTTGTGGCGAAATCGTTGTAACCATTCCCATACGCAAGTTGTGCTTACAAGCATGTTTTACAGATTTTTATATAAAGGGAATAGATCGAGTTTCATTGGAAAACTCGTAAGAATAATTCTGAACAGATGTGAAACTTCATTATCTTTTTAATTACTGCCCAAATGCCTGAGGTTATACAGCTGTTCACCAGAGAGAAATTCACACCCCAAGTCCAAATGTTGAGTATATGGTTTCTGTGTATCTCTTCACATTAGGAGCATATGAGAGAGAGACCAGATCACTTTATTAGCCATATACAATTTCTTGCATTAGGAATTTGTCTTTTTGCATATCCGAGCTTGCTCTCCATGAGACACAGACGCACAGACAGAGTCTGTGGGGGGGGGGGGTCAGAGCGCAGGATCAACCATTTATACTGCACCCCTGGAGCAGTTGGGGTTAAGGACCTTGCTCAGGGGCCCAATGGAGCCCAGCCGCAGGATTTGAACTGGCAACCTTCCAGCTAAAAGCGCAGATCCTTAGCTACAGTGCCTCCGCTCCACCCCATATCAGGGATAGCATGTTTATTGTGATAAAATTAGAATCTAAAGGCACCTTGTGTGGGTTTTAGTCATAACACTCCAAACCTAAACACACATTTACTGTAGGCCGGCACACATTTTCACCTGCAGGCAGCAGAAAGCTAAACTAAAAAAATAATATTGACAACACATTTACATTGTCTAGACAACGCGAGGAAGCAACAAGAATGCAAACATAATCTTAGGGTAGTTAAATGTGTAGAATTTAAATGCAGGGATGTTATGGCAATATTATACAATGCACTCTAGTTAGGTCTCATTTAGAATATTGCATACAATTCATGTGTATGGATCTGCCAAACTGTTTAAATTACCAATGAGAAATATTCAAACATATTCTCTAAGAACCGCCAGTGCAAGAAACATGCCCGAGGACTCAATGGGAAACTACTGTATGGGCAAGAGCATTTAGAACTGAGAACAGGAGTCCCTTTTTTACACAAAGGGTTGCGGGAATCTAGAACAAGCTATCCAGCTATATTATCGAAGCTGATAATGCTAGCTTCATTCAGATTGATCCTCGGACCTCATCTGTGGTCTTTGTCCCTCATAAATAAGTTATTTTCATTCCGTAAGACTTGAATTTATGTTTGTGTTTGAGTTTTCCTGCGTCGTGCCCTGAAATTCCTGGTAGGGGGTGTATGTGGGGCAGTGAGAGGTGTTGCCCCAAGGGAACAAGAAGAAAGGAATATTAGTCTTCATCATCAAGTAAAAAAAGTCCTTCACCTGGTTACCGTGGAAACCAGAAGCACAGTCAGCCAGGATGCTGCTCTGACGTTGTGTGTTTTGCTGCTGAGCCACTTGTTCCCTTCAGCAGAAGATGTGCCAAATGAAGAATGAGTTTCCCTGGAATCTTATTCTTATCATTACACGGTCCTGGGAAGAAATGCACAGAGAAAAAGAGGCTTTTATAAGTTTCGTGTGGCAGTGCTTTCATCTAGTTTTACAGGGAGAATATAATTATAAGAATCCAAGCAGTGGCATTCTTTGCAGTATTGTTTGCATATCCGGAAGGCAGCAACAAAGTCCCTTGTGATCATCATCATCTTATGTTTATGTGCTCAAATATTTATATTTCATATTTGATTTAAATAAGTCTGATCCATTCCCAGTTCATAAAAAAAACATTTTTTTTCTTTACTGTAAAGATGTTTGTTTTCCTGTGAGGTATTGACTCCTAACGTTATGCATCCATCCATTTTTTAACCACTTTTTCCAATTCAAGGTTGCAGGGGAGCCAGAGCCAATCCCAGCATGCAATGGGCACATTCCAGGACACACCCTAAACAGGACACCAGTCCATCACAGGGTGGACACACTCACTCACAACAGGGACAATTTTCCCAGGAGCCAAAAACACCTACCAGTATGTTTTACCAGTATGTTTTTGGACTGTGGGAGGAAACCAGAGCACCCGGAGCACTAGAGCATTGCAGGTCAAGAACTGCTCCCAGAGTCCCAGGGCTGCAAAGCTACAAAGCTGTTAACCACTGCACCACTTTACCACTTCCCAGTGTTCTCAAGGAGTTTCTAATTCAACTTGTCTTAATTGACTGGGGAGTGTTTTTACGCACGATTTCTTTGGCCGCTCTTTCTGCTAGTCATTTCAACAATGGTCAAAATGTTGGGCAGAAAGTGTTAACCATGCTTTTCTGTTAATGGTCTCAGCAGACGTGTCAATGTGACGGATGAGTCAATGAAAGAAGCTGCTCACAGACTGCTACTCTTTCTTTATAAAAGAACTTGCTTAGAATTATTCACTTCTTAGACGTTTTGTATGTGCTAAAATCTTAAAATTTTGTGTGGCCATATGCACTGGATCTGTGGTTAATCAACATCACTCGAATCCTGCTAATTATTCTACTCCCTTACATAAATTCCCCTTGCGCTGTATTTAGACAAAGTATGTATTTGATAGAAACAAAATTAATTTATTATACAGTATGTATATCTTTCCATCTTAACATGTTAAAGCAACCATCTTGCTCTGGGGTATTAGAGTAAAAACCAAAAGGAAACTCAGGATTGTGCCTGAGATCTGTCAATATCTCCCGTCTGGTCTCAGAATCTTTCAGGGTCAGCTGGAATGCGATAGTGGTATGAGGGATGTCTGGATCTACGTCCTCCACATACTGTTATGTCAGTGACACCTGACCAGCAAGAGCAATAATCCGAAAATTAAAGGCTTAACAACAGCAGTTATTAGTAGTGTAACGCAACGGGGGCTCAGGCGGGCGCCCTTGCCGCATCTGGTCGGCCCAAAGTATAGGTGGCTCGAACCCGGGACTTCCGCGTCTCTCTGCTGCGACCTAGCCCCGTGAGCTAAAGAGAGATCTCTCCACAGCCCAGTAGCTGTGGTCCTGCTATCACAGGGAAGGGCGGTGACGTCACCTGCTCTGGTACGCCGGCTCTTACACACAGTGCTTGTCGGCCGTAAGCGTTACAGTAGTGGTATTTGTAGCAGAGGTAGTTGTATCAGTAGTAGAAGCTGCAATGGTAGCAGTCGGTGCAGCTGCAGCAGCTGTAGTTGCAGCAGTGGCAGTAAGTGCAGTAACTGTGTAAGTCGCAGCAGCTACAGTAGTTGTATTGGTAGCAGTAGTTACAGCAGTAGCAGCTGCTGCAGCAATTATATCAGTAGCGGAATTTGCACTGGCAGCAGTTACAGCAGTAGCGGAAGTTGCAATGCAGAAGTTACAGCAGCTGCAGTAGTTATTTCAGTGGCGGAAGTTGCAATGGCTGCAGTTGCAGCGGCTGTAGTAGGTGCAGCAGTATCGGAAGTTGCAATGGCTGCAGTCGCAGTACATGCTGCAGTATCGGACGTTGCAATGGCTGCAGTCGCAGTACATGCTGCAGTATCGGACGTTGCAATGGTAGCAATAGCTGTAGCAGAAGAGGTAGCTGGGTCCACTAAAGTTTGGAAAGTGTTGCTTTGTGCGTCAACATTACAGTAGGCTTGGAAAAACAAGGATTGAGGTGTCAACTGCAATCTTATACTAATATCGGCACATACAAGCACATTTTCTAAGACAAAGAAAGGAGGATTAATCAATTGATTTGTTTGCTTACGTTTGCATCAAAATGCAGCTCTGAGTCAAAAAGCCAAACTTCCTTATCGCTCAGGTGACGTTTAAGCGGCAGTTTGTCTTTTTGGTGTTTCCAGATGGAAATGACAGCAGAAGTCTTGGGAGATTCCACTCCTGTCCCCACTCAGGGTGTTTGTGATTACCTGCTGGCTCAATCAGCTCTTCAAAACCTCTTCAGTCACATCCACTGATCTCACAGAGGGCAGAGTTGCATCTGACAGGTAAATGAATCTTGATGGCACTGTCTGCCCAGCTTTCTCCAGGGACAAACCAAGGAGTTCAGCTGTTTCACACACCCCAGGCTGTCTGAAGACCTGGCTTTGTAATAAGATCTCTACCTAGATAAGCACATCTCTGTTTAAGAGAGAGCAGCAATGTCTGCCAAATACCAGGATGCTCATTCTCACTCTTTTATTCTTGCTCTTGCTTTCCAAATGAAGAATTACGAAATGGACAAAATTTCAACCATTTATCCTGTCTTGCAAGAAAACAGCAATAGAACATATATTTGTCACTATTCTGTTATCCATAACAATGGCAGTGAGTGACCCTGCTTGTGTTGATCAGTCTTTACATTGGAGTTTAATGAAAACCTTATTTAAAAAAAAGTAAGCTTCCCTTTGCAGGGCATCGTACCTGTCCTGCACACCAACCTTCTCAGATATATTGCCACATAGCCTCAAACTGAACAAAGCAAATGGAATTAAATCAGTCTTTATTTGACATTGCGTCTGTCACAACAATTAAAGCATTAACTATCTCAAACAGGTATGTGCTTTAAAAACTCAGACTTTGTCTGATGTGCATGCTACTGTATCGCATGGAGTGGAAGCCATCCGCTGGTTTCTGGAAGACCCACTTCAGGTCTTTTGCGGTCCCCATCGGTTGACACCAGGCTGAGCATCAGCTCATCTTTGTGTTTTTTTTTAATGAAAAACAACTCATTTCTCCTTAAACCTTTACAATCTGCACCTACGTTATATTCTATACAATGTAAACTGCTGTATGTTTTATTGCACTTTATGACTTCTTTCCTGTCTGTGGCTTTCCAGTGTTCAATGTGCAGCACATCGCATTTTAACTTTCTACATGTTGTATATCAAGAATCATCACCTGAAGAACGCCCAAGGGCTAAAATATTTTTTGCTTTCTACTTTTTAAGTGTGGAATTAACCTCTGCTTCTTCCTATATCCAACATGGCTTGATTTCCTCATGCCTGTCAAAACCATCACTAAATTGTTCCTGTGACTGGGTGTGTGCCCTTTGATGAATCGCTGTCCCGCCTACAGGATGAATGGATATATCGAATGCAAAGACAACACTGTTCTAAAATGGATTATATCTGAAGATACTTTTAAAAATGAAAGGCAGAGAATGTCAGCCATCATGCTGAAAGTTATGGTCAAACAGTTGTGAACAAAGATGTTTGGCATGTGGAAATTTCAGAGGTTTTAACTACACTACTGCCATAGTATTGGAAAAACAATAAACTGGAATCATGGTAGCTTTATGTTCATTATGTATATCCATAATAGCATTTATAGTGCAATTGCCTCTCGGACTTGTACTTTTTAAAAAATAATAAGTTATTGTTCATAAGATGGAGCACTATTGAGTAAAACACAGCACAAATAAGGTTTCAAATAATCAAGAACACCATTCCTGAACCGAGACCACATTACATTCTATATGCTACCTCTTGGCACTAAAAATGTTTTTTGTTAAACTTTAAAGTCTGAAGAAAATGAAAACCTAATAACCACTCCTTCTGAACACCATGTCATATAAATCAAAGGTGAGTTTGGATGCATCTCAGCAGTAACACTGTTAGGAAAACTTAACATAACTGGGCAGTCTGTGGAAAGCCGTTTTTCTGAACTTTAATTTGCTTCATCAGAACACATCAGCTTTCAAGCGGCCCAGGCCTTTCTATCCATTATGGGCCTCGTTTTGTTTTCCTAGTTGCTGCCTCAACCTAGCCGAGTGGGGGGAGGGAGATTGGGGGAGGGGGGTTGGGTTGTCTTTATGACGAGCAGCATGTTTCTCCAATCAACCGCAGAATGATGATTCGAATCACCCAATTACTGCGCGACATTTGGATGGTTCACCAGTTAGAGGCAAGCAGGGGAGGGGCTTGTAGAAGAAGTCCCCACCCATTAGCGAGGGTTAGGCTGCGCGGGAGCTGCAGTTTCAGTTTGTTTTATTCACCATTTTGTGTAGCTGAGGGTAAAATTCAAATAAAAATCCAGTTTAAAACACGTTTATTTTTTGTTTTTTGTGCTTGGCGCCGAACTGCGTTTCTGTCTAAAGCGGTGTGTTTAATCACGCTTTGAGTTGCAAAACCGAAAGGTTTTATTTTTTTATCTCCCTTGGATTTTCCTTTTAAATATATATTTTAACCTCTACAGTATTTCTGCAAAATGTCAAGACCAGTGAGGTATGTTTGTTTTCTATGCTCTTCGTTTACGGTGAGAGTGCATGCACGCCGTGAGCTAAACGCACGCTAGCATTGATATTGTAGGTTCTCTTTGACGATCTTGTGTGTGTTTAAGTTAAAAGGGTTGTAGTTTCTTATATTGTCTTTTTCTAATGCTCCCCTTTGGTAACACTAAGCCTTGCAGTGCGTTGTTACGTTAACGTGTCCTGTCTTTTTGCGCGCACTTCGGGTTTGCATCCATTCTTAAGTTTCCCCGCTGCTAATCTCCTTTCAATGCAGCGTTTATATACAACGCTTTAAAAAAATAACCTAACTCGTTTGTGTATGTGTGCTGTGGCTAGTAAAACTGGAAATATGGCTACCCATTCATCCTGAGCAGAGACAGAAACGGCAGTAAAATCCCAGTCCCTGGATGTTACCGTCATTGGCTCATTGATGTGAAGATCTTGGTCGACTCCAGCTTGCACACCAGTTAAAACACAGCGCGAACTTTTTTTATATACTGCGTTGTTTTATAACGGACGTTGGTGCGCATTTTTAAAGAAAAAATCGCTGCTGGGGAGGGGAGGGGGGGGTTTGGAGCGAGACTTGAAAAAACAACGTAACGTTACACAAACTGGACTCCCCATTTCGCCTTCAACGCAGTAAATTAAAGACTAGGTATTCGAGTGATGTCACGAGGAGGGAGGGGGGTGTCTGTAGCTCGGGCGCCACACCTCCTCCTGCGCTCGACTTCTGGAAGTTGTGTTCCTGCGCGTCTCGTCTGGAGAGACGCAGAGCTCTTTCCACGCAGGTGGACGAGAGTCGCGGTCGCTGAAACCGGGTCCCTTTGTTTCGCCGCGAGCCTGCCCCCGAGGCACTTGAGGCGCGGGGCGAGCGGCGCGGTCTGAGAACGGTGTCCGCGTGCGGCGCGTGTGTGGACAACGGGGCCCGACACTAATGGAGCGTGGCTACACTGTAAATCACGTGGCGCTCTGTCGCGCAACTCGGGGTTTTTTTTCTTTGCGCCATCGAACAATGCGAACCACCAGCGAGACAGAGAAACATTTTTTTAGCCTACACGTATTTAATTTTAACTTATCTTTGACACGTAAGCAGTTTCACACGAACATATTAAATACCTTAATTCAGCCTAAGGCAGACATTCACCTCTCCCTAGCCCAGATACTGTATATATACCCTTTAGTCATGCTGCAGTTGCCTTAGAAATGTAGTGTTTAGCTGTGCAAAACATATTCCGTAACCGAGAAAGGTTACAATTGCACCCATTTCACTTTCCATCTTGATCTAAAACACGGATGAGGCCCTTCCCACTTAAAGGGTCCGTATCCGATTAATGGGCCCAACTCGAGTGATGTCACCTGGAGTCACGATTACGTCATGGGGCTTTATCGCCCTGGATTCTTGCATTTAGATTTGTATACGGCCCCGAGCCTGCAGTTTGGGGGGGGGGGATCACTGCAGAAAATTCTGGAAAAAACGAGACCCACATGTAAACGCACGTTATGATTATAATACCATAAAACGGAGGAGTGTTGAATATTGCAGTCTGTATTGACATGGTTGCATTTGAAATTAGATTGGTAAATTGAGTCTGTTGTGCTTATGCAGATACTGACACAAGAACCCAGGGCTTGTTTCTTTCTATTACTTGAAGATAAAGCCTTCTCGTGATGCTTGTAGATCTACCTTAAACCAGAAATGATAATACTTCATTAAACCGAGGTTGTGCTCACCTTGGGCAGCCTCTGCCTGTCTGTGCTAGGGTGAGAGCTCATTGGTTGGTCCCCGTGGGCCAGTGAAGTGACCTAGTTCCATGTGATTGATTTTTCTTTAATTTACCAGCTGAAAGAGCGATTCTGCCTAGCAATCCCCTGAGCACGGCTGATACCGGAGCCAATTAAGCCCAGACCATAGAAACCTGTACTATCCAGAATGTTTTTTTTAATCTATCGATTAAGGAATATTGAAGCAAACCTTGTGTGGTAGTATTAAGAAGCATTATCAGCGACGGGGTGAATTCCACGGGGAAGGCAAATCTTAACTGAAGTCTTCAAAAGATAACCTGATTTAATTTCCAAGTTCATACCTTCAGCATGTCGCCGGTGTTTGGGATTTGCCTGAAATGGCTTCAGCGTGGAAAAGCTTGCCCTGTTGGAGTTCTCCTTCATTTCTCTGCAGTTCCCGAAGAATCATCACAGCTTTTGTTGCTTAATGAATGCAGTGCAATTTAAGTGTGATTAACGTGTCCAAACAATTTAAATGGAGTCCTTTTGCTTTTCGCCTGGTGATGAAATAAATCGGTGTGCAGCACACATCCAGTCTCGCACTGCAGAAAAAAATCGGTTTGAGCAACTTGCCAGGTTCTTAATTCACGATACCGGGCTGTCCGTAAGGGGGAAGAGGTCGTAAAGAGCAGTTAGGTCAAAGGGTTTCTGTCAACATTGTCCAGGGAGGTGTAGTGGTCATGGCTCGGGCAGTAAGCTGTAGGTTTGTCACTGATCCAGTCTGAGTCAAAGTAGCCTCAGCAGCAGTGAACATCAATTCTGTTTTATTGGGTGTTTGCTTTTATGAACTTATTTTACAATGTATGAACAATGATATTTGTTGAACATTTATGAGCTATTAATATATGGTTGTGGGATTCCATGGAATTAAGCAGCAATCAGGTAGCTCCCTACTGCTTTTTGTTCACTGGCACACAGTCGTGTTCAGTTATATATATATATCATTTTAAGTACATACAATTTACATTTCATTGGATCCTGTGAGACCTGATTAATACTGGAAATAAAAATGTTATCTCAGCTACTTCATCAATGAACAAAAGAAGCCTTCTAAAAGGCTTGTGAAGCAGCTTAAAGACGTTTCAGGTCTGTTGACATGAATTATTTATGAGACATATTGGTGGGGGGGGGGAAAGGTTTGTTTTTTGTAGTGCCTAGAGTTTAAAAGCCAACTTGTTTTCATTAAGTAAAAGCATCTCTTAAGGTTAGTAAGAAATCATAATTACAAATTTAATTGGACTATTGGTGCTGTTATCCATGGAGTCTTGCATAATTGTAGATTGTACACATGTTATATAGTAGTTTCACAGACAAACAAAGCATCAAGAATGTAACTTGATTTTAGCATGTTTACCTGCTTGCGGTTAAGTAATGTATTACTACAATTCACCGGCTGTGAAAGCAAGATCTGAAATTTAAACTCTAATCTTATTTACAATAATAGGTATTGTCTGTATTAAAAATGTAATCTCTGCTTTTTTAAAATTCAGGATCCATTATTTATCATGCTCGGGCACCTCTAAGCCCTTTCCTTGGAATATTTGAGCAAATGTGTATTTTCCTTTTTTGTGTTCATTTTACTTATTATTGGATGTTTCATACCATATAAAACTTCGGAATTGATTTTTTTTTCTAGACAGAATTGTCAGATCAGTGCTATATGCTCCTGAGTGGGAGGGGGAGGAGGGGGTCGGTCGGTCAGTTGGTGTGCCTTGTCCCTCCAGTTACTGACCACTCGCCTCACCGCGGTCTCCACTGTATCACTGTTCCACTTCTGTCTTCTTTTCTTTTTGGATGACGTGCCACATCCTTAACGTGGCCCTTGTGAGACCAGCCATCCAGGGCTGGACTCTCTCATTGGAGAGAAGAGCCTGCTGTGCAGACTCCAGTGTGAGCTGGGCTGAACAGTCCTGTTGAGTCTTAGGAGCCCCAGTCTTAGATCAGGTGTTGTTTTGCAGCATTTGTAAATGAGCAATCTTTGAACACAGGTTCTCAAGCAATACGCATTTGGTTTTACATGGGTATATATTTGAACTGTCTGTGGTGAGGGTGTTTCTCTGCTCTGGGGTCTTCTTATGAAGAAGCTGATAGTGCAGTGTCATTCATAAGCAGTCTCTTGATTATGTATGATAGCTAATAAGTAAAATAACATTTTGGTTTATAAGAAAAGTAATAGAACAGTAAACATTATATACAATGTATGTCTGCTCTGGAAGCAGTCCAGAGAAGAGCAACCAAATACATTCTGAGGTTTAAAACAATGTCCTCTACACTGACAGATGGAATGAATCAAACCTTTTTTTAGTCTTGAACAGAGAAGCCTGAGGGAATCTGATACAAGTGTTCAGAATCCTCAAAGGCATTGCCAAAGTCAACCCAGCAGACTATGTGAAAAGTATGTGAAAGTGCATTAAAAAAACTGAAAATGTCTTTACACAAAGGGTTGTGGGAGTATGGAACAAGCTACCCAGCCTTTTAGGAAAAGCAAATACCCTGGTTTCTTTCAAGAAAAGACTGGATGGTCAATTCCCTGCTAACTACCAAACAAACGAATGTGGCCAATCAGTCCACTCTCTTATGTAACCTTTCTTATCTTGTTAAAATGAAGGCTTCTTTTCAGCATTGCTGTTACACCTTTTCTGGTCGGGAAGATTCTGTCAGAAGTGGAAAGGGTTTTACAGGAAGCTGCTGAGTGTAAATGGATTTGTGTAAATTTTCTGCACAACTTTAGGAAAGGTAGTTAGGCCAGGAAAAAGTCTGAAGATTTGCACATTAATGAAAGTCAGGCATGCCCTCCCTTCCTCTTGCAAAAAGCATGGAAAAGGAAATCTTTTTTTCTTGTAGCTCATGTAAACTGATGAGCATCATGCATTCAGTTTGTTGGTTTTGTTCCCAAAACAGGGAAGTTCAGCTACTCCAGAGTTATTCCTGTTGCTGAGAGAGTGTTGGATTTAATCCATGACTTCTAAAGCTTAAAAGTGTTTTTCCACCTGTATATGATGTCCATTCTGTGAATGCATTAAAAAATAACACATTGAAAATGCTCTGCGTTTGATGCCATCTCCCCCTCTGTCTGTGGGGCACCTTGAAGTCAGGGAGCCCAGTGATGTTTGTCAACTCTGTTTGCTACAGGGTCACACAATGTGAAGTGGCCATGTTCTCTCGTGTCCATCAAGCCACTCAGCCTGCAGGAGCTTCAGTGCTGGATGGAGGAGGGGTGTGTCCCTTGCAGATGTCATTTCACACACCTGGCTCATTACAGAATGCGAAATGCAGAAGCATAATATAAAGACAAATGTGTTTTTAACCAATATATATTCTTTCGGATAATGAGGAGAATTCTAGCTGTTATAACGCGGTCTGGAGGCTGGTCATTAGCCAGAATAAGAACATAAGAGCAGTTCCAAACAAGAAGAGGCCGTTTGGCCCATCAAGCCCGTTTGCTAGTTAAGCGGGTGTGTTAAAGAGAAAAAATGTCTCGAGTCGACAAATGATCCAAAGAAACGGGTCCTTTCATTCAAAAAAGCAACACGCTCGCCGAAAATGGTCTCTTTCAGTTTGTGAGTGAAATGGATACCTTTCAGCCAACATTGCAAGCACTGTTTACATGCTGGAATACTGTAAACCCTTCACTTGATTCACAAAAGTTTAAATTTCCCTCCCCCTCTTTAGTTGGCTACAGTTGGCTTTAGCTGCAGATGTGAATTCAAGAGTACAAGTACTCTGCCACTGAAGCAGGGCTCCGCACTAACTGAGGACGATGTGAACTTTTCTCTCCCTGCCTTCTCTTCTGTTTTTTTTTTGGACATTCATTTATCAAGGAGCAGCTTAAATCAATGAAGTTATTGGTGAGACCCGCTAAAATAACCTATGGCTGCAGGAACAGAGCCCTGCCTCATTTCTGTGAGCAACATCCATGCAGCACAGTGCTAGGCAAGAGAGCAGATGCAAACAGCTGTCTGAGAGCAGATGCTCACATGCAAAATGGATTTGTTCTTCCTGGTGATCACGGAGCAAAATTGGTTTGGTGCTTTTGATTTCAAACACAGACAAAAATATTTGTAAGTCTTTGTAAATCAGTGTTAATGGATCACTAGGTGGTGCTATTCTCTCTGGACCAGGATTTCCACCTGGTTCTGCAGTATGGTGACCGGACACAGCAGGCTTTAGGAGGTTATGTCCTTTAGACGACACATTAAATTCAGGACCTGACTGCTTCATCATTAAAGACTCCTTGACACTTTTCGTGATGATGTGTTAATGCTAGTGTATGTTTCTTGGTTACATTCCATCCTGGGATTGCAGAATGTGATCTCCCCTAATCAAGTTGGTGAAGATCCCTTCCCTACCTGCGCTGCTGTGCGGCGGGGCTGCTGGTACAGAGCGGCTGCAATACATCAACCTGGCAGGAGCAGAAGTGGGCTTGTTCCTCAGTGTAAAAGCGCTATACACGTGCAAGGAATTATTGTAATTCTGAAAGTGCATGAAGTCTGAAAAACCAGGCCAAGGACTGCTGGTGGGGTTGAGTGAGGGGTTGAGTCTCTGTGACATCCTGCTTCATTGCTTTTGGATCCGTTGGAAAAGCTCAGCTGGAGCACAAGCATGTTATTAGATCAGAGAGTGTATTTTAATGCCTTCATCCCTCCTCCCAGGTGTGTACCACCCTGTTTATGTATCTTTTTTTTTTTCTTACAGGAACAGGAAGGTAGTGGATTACTCACAGTTCCAGGAGTCTGATGATGCAGGTGAGAACTCGGTCTGAAATTCCTTTTGGGCTTTTGGTCAAGATTGTGAAAGGTGGGGGAGACGTATACGATTCTGCTTTCTGGTGAGAGCTAGTTCACATTCCCATAATTCATAGCAATTGCTTGCCTTTTACAAACAGATGAGGGGTTCCCCTTAAATATGTCTAAATATGTGAATACGAATAGTGTGGAAGCAAGACCCATGAGAGCCACTTCCAGCATTCAGGGGGCCAAAGGGTTTCTGGTTTTCATTGAGGTCTGCGGTGTACTAAGTGGGAAAAAGTAGGAGGACCATTGCTTAGTGCTGGGTGATAATTCGCTAACGATAATTATCGCTATATAATTTTCCTCACTATAATTTTAACAAAAGTTCGATATGTATGTTTATGCTTTGCGCATGGTATGCGCATGCGCACAAAATACTGCGCGAGAGCGTGTGCGTGTTGCAGTCAGCTAACGTGGTGTGATTGTAGTTAGAGTGGAGAAATGAGCGACACTGAAGCAATGTAGTGCTGCCAACGACCAGCTCGAAGGACGATGACATCGTCGACAGAAAAGGTCATTCCACTTCGGTAATTTGGAGATAGATATTTTGGCTTTTTACGATCAGACATAAAACAGAGCACTTTAAACTTTGCAGTCTGTCTGAGCCATCTTCTATGTGTGACTGCAGTATTTAATTTTTCTATTGCATATTCTCATGCGTATCTTGACATAAAAAAGACTTGCTTACTCTCTACCTCAGATTTGTTTAATGTTTCTGCTGTTTGGCAAGTGTATGTTGTGTTCTTAAAATAAAGAGTTGTTTAATTTACCAATTAACTGTCTGGTTTCTTCAACTTTCACTCAGGAGAAAAAATCTGCCTTTAAACTTGAAAGAAATAATGATCGTGATAGTTATCAATATCGACTGATATGAAAATTTTTATCGTGATAATGTTTTTGGCCATATCGCCCAGCCCTACCGTTGCTCAGTCACCCAGTGTTAAACCATGACGTCTGCTGGGTTTCAGCCTTCATGGACCAGAGCTGCTCAGGTGTGTCAACCCCGTAGCTGAATTCTGTCTTTGAAGTGACTGCATTATGGATAAATTGTTTTTCGACAGTCCCTTTCATGTGGACAGGATATAGAGAGAACATGCCTGCAGCAAAGCAACTAAACGGCAGACGGGCACACCTCCTTAACGGCCACTGAGGTTTACTTCGGGAACTTCCGTGCTTTGAGTTTTGTGCCGATTTAGCTCTTTTCGACTCCCTCTGCACAATGATATGCTTAGCAGGATTGTTCCATTTTCCAAGGAATCACAAGTAACTTCTCATCTCTGATTTTTTAGCTGGCGGCTTAATCCCCAGCTTTGTCGGGTTGTAGACAGTTTTACAAGAATGTGTCGGCACAACTGACCATTTGTCTGAAACTTGGTTTGTACATAATTGTTAGCATTACAGGCTTCAGGTTACCTATCCCTTTATTTTTGGCATTTTTCACTAGGTCCTCTTAATTAGCCCCTTGCAATCCCATCTTGCACTGCTTAGCAGAGCCGCAGTGACTGCAGAGTTTTGGACAGACTGCAGACCTGTACTTTATTAAGGCTCTGAGAAACCAGAGAAAAAGCAGTTTGGTTTTATATGGCTATAAAGAAAGCCATTTTATCTGTGTATGCTGCTTTGCAGGCAGGATATTTCTGTTGGGGGGGAGGGATTATAATAGGGAAATGTAGCACATTCTTTTTTTCTATTTGGTTTATGATGTAGTGTTAGCAGCTGGAATGCATTTTAGCTGCTTACATTTCAAGGATATAAACCACCTTTGTACTGTGCTGGAAGTCTAGTGGGTCTGGCCTCTTGTGGTTATGAATTACACACATGCAGTACAATAAGTTGTGTTTTAGGTTAACCATCAGCCATTATAATTGCTTGCAATTATTAGGCCAGATGGACAGAAGCCTTAAAATTGCCCTTAAAAGCTAAGTACATCAAACATGTACAATACGGTACTGATCATATCAAACAATGAAAATTTTATTAGTATATTACTAGATCGCAGGTCTAACAGTTATCCCGAATGATTGTTTATTTTGCTGTAATGGAGAGTCCTAATCCTGTTCCATCTTGAAAGCCCTTTTTTCACAGCTGATCCTCCATGCCTTCTTCTGAGATCCTGTCCTCCCTGAACTATGATTGTGTTTTATTCAGGGTAGTTTTAAGTGTTAATCGAGTTTGGAGCTTTGGAGTTGTGAGAGTCTGCATCAAGCTGCTTCGCGCACGCTGTTACTGCTGCGCTGGTTTCTTTCCGATACCCTGAACGAGTTCCTTTGATCAATGAGCTCCTATCACAGGGGCTTGGGCCAAAGTGCCGCCTCTCGTTTGTAACCGTTCTTTTGACAGCTCCAGCCCTGTACCGAGATAGGTGGCTCACAGAGTCAGGGCTGATCCTCTGAACCTTCTGGGGGGAAAATGGGCTCCAGTCTGATGTGATTCTGGGGCCAGAATGTAAACCTGTTCAGTGGTCATGGCTTTGTCAATCCTGAAGGTGTCCAGCCCCCGGATTCCCAGTGAATTCAAAGATGCTATAAAAGACAGGTGCAGGATTCCCAGTTGAATTGAGTCTCTCTCTGCCTTTCACTTTCATGGCCCTTCATTTTCCATTCTTGTTGTTGTTGTAATCCCCCCCCCCCCAAGGGCTGGGACCCTTATACAGGCTTATCCGATTTCCTTTCCTTTGTTGTCCCCACAGATGAAGAGTATGGGAGGGACTCTGGGCCTCCTAGCAAGAAGATCCGTGCGTCTTCTCGGGAAGTGAAGCCGAAGAAGAGGCCGGGGAAGAACTCGCAGGAAGACAGGTGATACGCCTCCCTGTCCTTCCGGTCTTGAACACGAGGGCCGCCTGCCTTTCTGCGGCCCAGAAACGGGCCTCGTTGTTGCCCGGCATCTTGCGTATGAGACGGGGAGGTGTTCTGGGGGAGGCCCAGGGGGTCTGTACACCATGAAACAAAGTACCCACCTGTCCTCCGGCAACCCAAATTAATGTATTTTTACCTTTTTCAGTGAGGATTCAGACGACAAAGCGAAGTCCAAAGATGACTCGGCAGGTAAGGTCAGACAGCATGAAGTCAACGGAAATTAAAAGTGGTAGCACACAGTGTATACTCAGTTCTGGGTGCTGTACCTTGATTTGCATGGGAATTGTCAAGTTAAAAGGACTGTTCTAGACAGTATGAAAACGGGTCTGATGTTTAACATTTGAACAGTGCAGCAGAAGCCACTTGGGAATTTCACTTCCTCCAGCAGCGAAGGCAGTGTTTCTCACCTTCCCCTTATTCTTCCATTTTGAAAAATCTGTCTAACTGTGCAAGCAAAATGTTGTCAGAAAATGCTGCAAACCTTTTTTTTTTCTTCCCCACACAGATGATTTTGGCAGCGAGGACGACAATGACTTTGAAGGAGAGGAGGAGGAGGAAGAGGGGGGAGACAGTGATTATGACGGGTCTAAAAAGGGCAAAAAGGGAAAGAAGCCTAAAGTGGAGAGGCCAGCCAAGCGGACACCCAAGTCACGGAAAAGACCAGCAGGTACAGCCAACATCCTCTTGAGAATGGGTGTTATTTCTAAGTCGTTATAGGTGTCTGTGTCTTGTTAGTTGAATTGAGGTGAAAGTAATTAAGCTCTGGGGCAGATGGGTTGCAGTCTAGGATTTCCTTTTCAGCTTCTGGGCTGGAGTACCTTCTGTGTGGAGTTTGCATGCTCTGTGTTGAGTGGGCTGGCTGAATTGCCCATTCCATGACAAGTGGGAGTGTTGCCCCTGTCTAGCTCTGCTGCAAAATCAATTCCAATATAGTGTGGACAGTGTTCAGGTGGACCAGGTGTTTAGGTGGAGAGCTCTTCTCATTCATTAGTAGTATTTAGTCCTGGTGGCCAACATAGAGTTAATTATAAATGAAATCCAGATGTAGATTCTTAATCTCAGAACTGCAGTATTTCTGCTTCATCGGAAGGATGAAGCGCTGGAATATAGTAACATGCTGCTGGTAACGATGGTAACGCACAGTGAGTCAGTGGCAGAGCTGGAGCTTGAATTGGAGACATCCTGGTGAGAGAGCCTTTTCCTGAATTACTGTGTAATTTAGAATGGTTCTGTGCACGTTTACGGTATGCTTTAGTTTAATCTTTGCACAACATCTCAGAAAAACAATAGGAACTGAATTCTTTAACTTTTGTGAAATACAAATATGCCCAAGCGTTACATGAGCTGGAGCCACTGAACTGTAGAAATGAATGCAAAGTCAGTAGCTTGTAGCCTAAAGCTTGGAGGTTGTGTCCCAGAATCCCTTGAGCTCAGGGAAATAACTGCCTGTGTTTGTCCCGTGACCCCTCCAGATGACAGCGACGATGACCAAGAGGTGAGCAAGAAGGTGCGGCAGCAGCGCCAGGCCGCCTCCAAGGCCGTGTCCAAGCAGAGGGAGATGTTGCTGGACGACGGGGGCAGCGAGGATGAGGAGAAGGACGAGGATGATCAGGCCTTCCTGGACAGTAAGATTTGGAGAAGGCCGGGCAAACATAAAAAGTGTAACAATTTGGCCAAATGTAGCTGTTGTCTCTCTCTTGCACTCCCGTCTTCTGTTGTGGAAGGTGAGGGTTAATCCGGGGAGTTTAACAGCAGGCCAGAGGCCTGGTAGTTCCTCTGCGCTGAGATGAAGACGTCTCCTCGTGACGTGCCCTCCTCTGTCCTCTCGCTCAGTCCTCCTCCTCTCTTTCTGTCCATAGAGGAGTCAGGCAGCGACGAGGATTTCATGGTTGATGACGACGACGACAGCGACTACGGACACTCGAGAAAGAAGAGTAAGAAAGTGGTGAAGAGGACCAAGCCCGACAGGAAGGAAAAGAAGTCTCCCAAACCTAGACTAAAGGCCACAGGTGGGGTACCTGGGTCTCCTGATGCCTTTAGTTCAGTGTTTATTTGATTACAAAAGTGCTTAGTGGACTACATTCCTAAAAGCTTTGGGCTTTTTCACAAATAAAAAGGGACATATCCAGGCTTGATCAACACTAGAAAACATATGACTTTTAGAAGACTTATGTGTTATGTATCCATTGTTTTGTGGAAGTTAAGTTTTTGGGGGGTAAGGAGGTATTTTGTCGGTGGTATTAAACATGTTTAACGTCGTTAGGTGACCAGGAGCCTGGCCTGGAGTCAAAACTCAGTTTGTGGGTTCCTAGTGGCTAACGTTGCTTCCTTATCCTGTTCTCCCATCATCCCCCTCCCGCAGTGACTCCCAGTCCCATGAAGGGCAAGGGCAAAGGTCGGCCCAGCGCGGCCAGGGCCTCCGAGAAGTCCTACAAAGAGGAAGAGGAGGAGCCAGAGAGCCCCCCCGAAGAGGAGGAAGAACTGGAGAAGAAGGACTCCCCTCCTCCAAAGAAAACAGAGGACCCGACTGAGGAGGAAGAGGACGTATCAGAAGAAGAGGCTCCTTCTGGGGAGGACTAACCGCTTGGAACGGGAGGGTCTTTCTCTCGTTTTTCTTTCTTTAATTTTTAGATCGTAGACAGTTTCAGTTTTCTGTGTCTGCCTGGCTCAACGGTTTGGACAATAATATTCTTAATATTTTTTCTTGCTTTTTTTTTTGCCTGTAAATACCATATCTCAAAGGACAGTGTGTGTGTGTATGGGTGTGTGATTGTGTGTGTGAGAGAGTGTAGGGGGCAAATCTTTACCAATTCAGGTGATGAATGTAGTCCTGTTTTTTCTGTTTGATTTTAATGAGCCCCCATCCACAGTGGCAGTGAAGCTGTGCTCCACAAGCACTAAAACCTTTGTGAGGAGGAAGAGGGCTTCTAAGAAGGAAATGTTACACAAGCCAAGAACCTGTAGTCCAAGACTGATCAGCCTCTGTCCTGCTGAATAGTACCATTGCAGGCCTTGCTCACAACTTGGGTATTGTGGAGGAATTCAAGCTGTTGCATGGTACAGTTGTGCAGGAAAATTGATTGACAGATGTTGACTTCACCCTGCAGAGTGCAGAGCCTGGGTCAGGTGAACACAGTGAAGTGCACACCCGACGCTCCTGCAGGCTGCACCTTGACCGTGAGAACAGGTGTTCTGTCTTGGATGCCCACTGCAGGTTCCTGACAGCAGCTTGCTGTGGCAGAACATGTATTTTCTGCAGATGTTTTTTTTTTTAGAGATCATTGTACAACACTATCTTACTCCGATAAGAACACCTGTTGAGTAGAACCTCTCTGGATTGAAATCTCCTGCTTAACCTGTGCAGGAATCTCACTGCTTACAGTGTAAGAAGCCTGTTTGTGGAGGATTTCATAGTGTAACTGCTTTTTACATAAAGATACAGTAATGGTCAAGTCTGCCTGCTGACCCATCTGGACCTTTTATTTTTCAAGTGTTGTTTTTATGGGGGTGAAAACATTTGATTTTAGAACGTTTTCTGTGCAAACACTTATTACTTGGGGCAAATAGGTTCGTTTAGATATTTTTTTTTTAAGTGCGTGGATACGTCACTATTTTTGTGTGTGGGGGGGGGGGCGCATTCTTTGCAGTGAAGCTGCACTGGATTAAAAAAGGTTAAAACATGAAGATAAAAAGCATTAAGGATGAACTGCCACAAGTAACTTGTAATGGGAAATTTGCCGTGAGGAACATGTTTGCGTGTTTGGATCTTGAAAACCTGTATGTTCATGTTCCGTTTTCCTGGGCACAGGTGTGTGTTGCCATACAGCATTGACAGGTGGTTCTGTCCAGGCCTGAGCTGGTACTGACAGTTTTCTCTTCAGCACCTCATCTTCTAATAGCTGCTTAGTTTAAGTGACGCACATTGATGTTCCAAACTTTCTCACATCTGAGGTTAAGCTTGAGTTCAGATGATGTGGTTTTTTTAAGTCTATCACAGGTAAAAAGAACACCTTTGTTTCCTGGACATAAAAGTGTCTGACAGTTCAATCCCTTGTGCCAGGCCTTTTCTCTCTCTTTTTTTTTTTTATTCTTTTTGGTTTGGTTTTCAAAACAAAAGTCCAAAAATGAATGTTTTTTTTTCTTTCTCGATTTTTTTGTAATGTTTGTTTTTTATGAAAAAATAAAAATGTATCTTGATTTTAAGAAAAAAAAAATCACATCTATCTCTTTTCTCAAAATCCAGAAAGGAAGATATATGAAAAAACCCAAGTGTGGAAATGGATTGTTCCTAGGCACTTGTGGCGTATTTAAGGGTTTGGGTGTTGTGTGGTAGGTCCTATACAGAAATGAACTGAGAACCTGTGCCTCCTATCCCCCTTCCCGCCCTCCGCCCGCAAAAATATAAAAAAGCATGAGTTGGTTGAGAGCAGCTTAAAACATTAAGACTTGAAATGTTCCATTTCCAGTGGGCTGGTGTCCATTTTCATAACACTACTGTTAAACGGGAGTTCTGTTTATCAGTAGCATTGCACATCAATGTGAATGCACTATTTGGGTGTAAATACATTTTACTGGAAAATTTAAATTCCTATTGATCAGTTCAAATCAAGTCAAATGTGCAGACGGCCTAACACTGGCCTCTCATACTTCATGATGGATTAGTGCACACAGGAGTGTTCGCAAAATGTTTTCTGCTCACCACCAACTTCAGAGAGTAGTAATTGACTTTGTTTCCAAGAGCCTTTAGAATGTGGACTTGGTTCTTTAAACCTTTATCTTGGCATCTGGTGTCCTACAATCTCTTATTTTACTAAATGAATTAATGTGAAGACACCTGTATTGTATCCTTTCGTTGTAGTTCATTAATGCCTTTTTTCCCCATATTGTTTTATTACTCCTCTAAAAGGGGAGAATCTGAGGGAAGGCAGCTCCAGGGTGTCCAGGATAGGAATGATGATCCTTCAGGGTCACAGCTGGGTCAAGAGGCAGGAATGATGGGCCAATAGCTAGATCTAAAATTAAAACATCAGGTTTACGATGCTAGTTTTCCTACTCTGTCCTACGGGAAGTCCACTTAATTGGCAATTGGTTTCTTTAAGATGATGAGAAGCTGTTTATGTGGTTCCAGTTGTGCTTTGTACCTCTGCATTTAAGGAAAGGTGTTGCCTACTAAGGGGGGTTTCGCCAAAGACGATTGACCCCTGCATTGTGTTTGTTCTGCTGTCAGTTTTCAGTCACATATTGATTCATGGAATCAAGCTTTGTTGTTAAAGTGGCATTTCTTCACGGTATTGACTCGAAGGAAGGCAGCAGTGTGACATATTGTGTGAATATCTGTCCATGCAGTTTCATGCTAAAATAGAGTGAACGGGCTCAGTGGGTCCGGAGGGGAGAATTGAACCTTTCAAAAGGGTACAGACCCATCTGGCGTCTCAAGTCCCATTTTGAGATGGGAATGAGAATGTGCCCCCTTTTCTAAATTGCATGCATTAAAGTGACCACCAAGTATCATATCAAGGGGGTTTATTTTTTTTAATGCTTTAATAATGTAGAGTTTCTCATTTTTAGCTGTGGGGTGTTCCTTTATGCTAGGGAGGGAGTGAAGTGACGACCACCAAGTTTAGACTAAAAACATAATTATTTGCAATTGTGTACGAGTGATTAATTAAAAATAAAGTCCTACCTGGGTTTTCTGTAGGGGACACTGCTGCAGCTCCTAGCTGTCGGTAGTCGTGCGTGAGTTGTTACATCTTGTTTTTTCAGTTTTTGTATTGCTTATGCTCTGGAGATTTGTGCAGAAAATCTGTTTAGTAAGCCAAGCTACTCTTTTGCAGGTTTTGGACTGTGAAGCCAGGTTTAAATGCTTTTTGTCACCTTTTCCCCTTCTTACTATCACAGAAATATTGTAAAATGCTTTTTTTCCACATTGCTAACCAGTCTTGTGGCTTCCTGCAAATGGAGACAGAAGTCTTTCTGTACTGAAGCCGTGGCTGAGAGCATACCTGTATTAGATGCTAAGAAACTGGGACAAGTCACATGCATAGCTCTGTTTATGAGACCAGAATGTAAGCTATTTTATTGTAATGTTTTAATCTGTGGTGCCTATTTTTAATGCTAGGAGGAAACTGTAAAGTTCTTGCTCTTCTGTGTTGTAGAGCTAAAAACTTTCACGAGCAGGACCATTGTTTTTTTAAATGGTCGGCCTCGTCTTCTGAGCCTAAAACTACATGCTGTGAGTGATAACTGCACTAAGCGTACAGGAGATAACTAGCAAAGTGGATACATTGTGTTTCCTGGAGAACCAGCAAGAGTTTGAAACTGAGGCGAGATTAATGATAACTTCCTGAGAAACTGAGTTGCTGCAAGCTGAATTCGCTATAATATTCCGTTACAACTTGTGGAAATATTGCAGTTTCTAGTGGGTGGGGGAGGGGGGGCTTAATCTTATGCAGTAGGTGCTTTAAAACATTTTAGATATTTTTACTTCAATCAAATCATTAGTTGTGTGTAAAGGAAAGCAGCAATTAGAATATTTGTCAAGTTGTGAGGGTGGATGGGGACACAGGTGTCGTAAAGCTTTTGATTATGTCCAAGCTTGACAATGAAAGAAAAAAACATTACAGTGTAAAAACATCTATGCCCTATATTGTGCGTTGATGTGTGTGCTTATTCTTTTGTGTAGCAGCTATCTTAATTCATGGGACATCTCTTACGTTGCCCAAGAAAAACAGAACTACAGATGTACTGAAAAAATATTTTTTTGGGGTGGTGGTGGCAGAGGGAGATAAAGGGGTGTGGGTGGGGGGTGAGACCAGAGACGTGGGGGGTCAGTTTTATAAAGCTTTTAAAGGAGAGTATAGTACACATTGTGTGTTGTAATGGGAAAGATTTTTTTTAAGAAAACGCTGTAGTGTTCACTTTAAAAAAAAAAAGAAAAGTTAACATACATGTGTGCTGGAAATGTTGTTGTGCAAATTGTGAGTCCTGTTGTAAAGGGTGCAAGCCTTTTGTCAACAGCATCAGAAGCGAACTTGACCTTTGAACTGTTGTGCATGTCATGGGGGGGCAAGGGGATGGGTATGGCCATACTGTGGACTTTATTGTGATGATGATGAGAATTGTTGGTTTCCCAGCTCCTAATAAAAGCAACCTACTTTTTATACTGCTTAACCTGCAGTGGTTTTGTTCCGGAATTGTCTTAAAAGCTTATGGGTTTCCTTTTCTATATTTGTAGGAATCTCCCATGATTTTTGTTGTACCTGAGAACCGTACAGTGTTGGTCTACAAAAACAGGGAGTCTTTTGTTTTCCAGATCCTTATAACATTTTAATAACTTAAGCACACACGTTTGAAATTTAAATAGGCTTCAGCCACTGAAAATGTTTACCATTTTTCCACATAATCTCGATGTGTAATGGGATTCTCTCAAGTGTGTTGGATGAACTTCTTGTTCAATTGCTGAATTAAAATCCTCAGAAGTCTGCAGGTTTAACCTGAAGTCATTTGGGTTCCCCCCCTCCCAAGTAAAAATAAAACACATATTCAGGTCAGGTGACAGTGGTAGTTTAGGCATGCCCTGCCACAGATGTTGGGAATGCTCCTTGAAATAGAAGTCCAGTATCAGTACAATGAATACAACTTTCTTCCATAGCTGCAACAAAACTCTCACTCTTAATGATAACAATGTCTTATTTTCATTCTATAAAACCATCTACAATAAGAGTTGTTTGTCTGGGTTCAAGGATTCCAACTTCTGAACATAACTTTTCCCAAATCTCTTCTTTAGCTTTATGAAAACATCTGTTCCTGACCTCTTTATATCTTAGAATGATGATTTAATTTTAAAATATCACCCTATTCAGAATATGATAGCGACATTTAATTTCCAGTGGGAGAGAGAAGGATGTGTACTATTTCTCTAACTTTAATTAGTCCTTTTTTATTAAATAGATTAAGGATTTTCTCAACTTGAAAGTGACAATCTTCCGCTGTAACAGAAATTGTTTGCATCTGGCTCCATAATCCCCTGTTATACTGCTCTACAGTCACTAGGTGTCTCCATAAAGGTTTCCATGGCATTACTGTGATTGCTGAAGTGTCCACAGTCATCAAGCCTCATCTTCAATCTCACTGTGAGGAGTGAAATATATTTTTAAAAAATCCTTGCAGGAGTTCAAAGCTAACACGCAATTAGATAACTTAGCATTATTTTAAAACCAGTAAGTAACTTACAGTAACCAGTAAGTAATGTTCTTGAAGAGAGATGTTTCTCCCATACAGTATATCATTATCCATTTTTGGTTCTCAGTAGTCCTTTGTATAGAAGGTGTGAACATTACGTGCAGAAATGTCATTCTTATGAGCATGCACATATGAAAAGAGGGATGTAAGGATGGTTTCTTGTGATCTTAATATGCTTAAAGTATGGTCTTTGACAAATGCCACATCTTGAGCAAACATAGTACAAAACCTTCTTTTCAAGCAGTACTTTGTTTTTATTATTCTCTACACACCCATTCTTGATCTGCCAGTTCTTTCTGTAGGCCTCAGAGTCAGCTCTCACTGAGGATGCCTGTACCTCAATGGGGAGAATGAAGAGAGACCGACCGACTCCTCCAAACTGCCCCCACGTCCATCAGCATCATCCATCTTTCGGCACATTACAATGGCCACACGTGGCATCACTATGAGCCCACACAGCTGGCAGCTGGGGATTTGCAGGAGTCACTGTTTTGCTGGAAGAGCTCAGGTCAAAGCCAGTCAATTTCCCACTACCTCTGGTATTATTCTGCCAAGAAAACTCAGAGGTTTCCAAAGGTAAACCTTTCAATGTTTGGTCAATAGTTTAATTCATTGGAAACTCAGCATTTAGTTTATCTGTGCACAAATGGAAACAAACTTTTTGAAAAAGCCTAGCAAACACATTGGGAGAGCTTGTTTCTCTGCGGGTTCTTATCTATCCGTGGCTTGCCTCTGATTGTTAGGACCAATATGAATAGACATCAATCAATATAGTTCAGATGTGTAGCTGCGTCAGCATGCATAGGCTGCAAAGGAACAAATAACAAGTAATAGGTTTATTCCACGCTGAAAAAAGAAAGAAGACAACGTTTCGGCTGTGGAGAAGACTCCACAGCCGAAACGTTGTGTCTTCTTTCTTCTCTTTTCATTGTGGAATAAACCTATTACTTGTTTCTTATTAATCAATATACTGTAGCCAGTCTTTGCCAACATGAGGAAACCATTTAACAAAGTTTGTTATTCCATTCATTTCTTGATTTTCTGAAAATCGATGACTGATGCCACAAGCATTCGCTAAAGCCAGAGTATTGGGAAGACAACTCTAAAAGCCATCCTCCTGATTATTTCAGTTTTAGGTATCTGCAGACTTTAGCGGAATGGTAAAGATTTTGAATTATGATGTTCTCCTTCCCCTCCTTTGCTCCACAGACTTTTAGGGAAGATGTTGTGCCAGTTGCTAGTCCAGGTAGACAGCTGCCTCCACCAAAATGATGCAATTGGATATGCTCCACACTTCCTATGAATTTCCATTGAGGAAGGATCCTAATTTATGAGAGCAGCCACTTAGCCTCTATTTTTGGAATTAGGATCACTCCCAAAAGGAATTTCTCCATTCCAACTAAATTCTGAAATTGGAATGGGAATATGTAAAACTTTTTACATGACCGGAATTGGACAAAGGGCTTTTAATATAAGATGGCACCCTTTCTAGTTACATGATATATGGTTCAGTGCCTGTATTTCTTATAGGCACTGAACTATATTACAAGACTATAGATGGATGCAACTGTATATAACGTACCTGAGCATGTGACAGACCGTTCTATGGTTGAACAGCACTGCTGGCTCCCTGGGAATGAACTGGCATTCAATTTTGAAATGAGCATAGCAACAGAAGGCTCTTATGTATCAAATTTTTAACCCTGAAGTTCATTTGCTGAAAGTATAATTTTCCAAAAATACCACATTTGCCATTGAAGAATATTATTCTTACCTGTGCTTCCCTGGTCACTGTTTTTTTTCTCTGATTCTGCTTATATGGATTTTTTAGTTTGTGTATTGTAATCTTGTACAATACTACTCTTATGCAGTGATGTCTTGGGAGGAACAGTTGCTACACAAGGAATAAAGGAATGACCTTCTGTCTGGTCAAGAAAAAGCAGGACACATCTGCCAGGCAGCATGGTAAGGACAGCTGTAAAGATTTTCTACAGTGACCACGTGTGACTTGTAAGTATGGTTTCACACCCATATTTGACTCTGAAGGAGGAGCAAGGCTTGAAGTAAGGAATATCAGGTATCATTGTTTATGCACAGTTACGTATGTTAACCATACCCCTCAGGATTGTTGTAGCCTAGCCTGTTTTTCTGTCGTTTCCAAGCAACTTGGGGAGGATATTGTTCCTGAAAAAAAAAGCTGTTTGACAG